ATGCACTCCTTTCTTTTACTTTGTTTAACGATCGAAACCGTGATCGTAATACGTGGTACGACCTAACGGGATACTACAAAGTTGTTACTGTTAAGCCATTCGGCATGTAAAATCACATTAGCACGTAACCGGACACGAGGCACATTCATTGCACGTCGTTAATATTTGTCTGATCTTTATTCCGTTCTCTAGCTACTCGCGGATACACTAGTCGCGTAACTCAAAAGAGTTGGTAACTCGTTTATGTACCATATATACATGTAAGTAAATATATACTCACGTTTATATACATCTATAACGATATTAACTTTGTTCTTCATATCTCTTACCCTACTCCATCCTTCAATCTCAAATGATATTCTCTTCTCGTATTATTAACATTTGCAACAAGGAGCACGGAATCATCTCAAGTCACATCTTTCTACATTCGTTAAGCTTGATACATCTGTCACGTAGATACATAAATTTATCTCTGGATCGAATCATAATTGGCAATAATACACGTGGATATCGCCCGTTGACGTTTAACGATACCTCGTGATTTTCGATCAGATATATAAGATATCTCAAAACTCAGATTTGAAAGATTTTCTCTATCGAATCATTTTCTCGCAATTATTGGAAATAATATCAGAAATCTGTTAAGCAAAGGAAATCAACTTGCTTTATTTACGTATTTACTTGTTTGAAGGCTTTCGACGTTAAAAGAATCGGAATGTAGAATTTGATTTTTATCTTTTCTTCGCGTTGAATCGATCAACATTTCCTTCTTTCCTTCCTTTTCAACTTAAGAATGTTCGACTGAAGTAAATTTACCAAGGGCGATTTCTTTTGCAATTATCAGCAAGCTTTCTTGAATAACGGCTTCATCTTCTTTCTGTCTCTGTCTCTCTATCTCTGTCTTTCTCTCTCACACACACACACACACGTCACGTATAGTCAAAAGCTTTTTTGAGTTCATAATCCATCAGCCTATTAAACTTTTCGACGTGATACATAATCGAGTAAGATCAAATAAAGATGAAAAAGAAATTGAAAAAAAGCAGAGAGAAAGAGAATCAAGAAACGAAACGCGATTACATTGAAATGCAAAAAGAGTAAGTTATAATAATGAGAATGGAGCGTAGATACGTTACGAGTCGAACACGATATCGCAACGTGCAATTCTTGAGAGCTCAAGCAGTATTCATCTACCTTGCAAAGCAACCATCTCTTCATCGCAAAACCGCAGGCAGCCTTCGTCGAAGGATGTTACGTGTCCTAATGGCCGAGTGTTGTCTACACTCTTCCTTCCTACCATCGATCGAGTAACATCTCCTGTACTAGATATTTTCTTATTTTATGAAAAGCCGATTACAAATTTTGTTGCTTGAAATAATTTCAAATCAATATTGATATTTTTCATTTCTTTTCATTAGTACTATTATTTGAATCCATGCATCGTAATTAATCACATTCTCCTGAACGTATACGAGAAATAATTCTTTAGTATCAATATAATTATTTTAACGAACACAGTGCTTTGTTTTTTGAAATTGAGAAAAATATAACTAAGTTAAAAAATATATCTAGTTACATTCTTTTCGCAAATACTTTTATTTATAATTAATGTCTATTTCTTCATAATTTTTATTTTATAATGAATAATCGTATAAAACATGGTCTCGACAAACTTGCCTTAATTGGTATAATTTTTTGACGATCATTTTAAACAACAGCGAACAAATAATGGAAACGATATTTGTAGAGAACTCAGGTTTCGCCTAATCACGCTCATGCTCTCACTCCCAGAATGTGATTGTAATAACAAATCTCGAAGAGGCCACGCCTATCTACCATTATCATTGGTCAGAGTAACAGATAAAGAAGCAAAATGGGAATGGTCGGGGCAGCGTGATCGTGATTGCGATCGTAACGAGACCAGAGAAGGCAGAGCATTGGCAGCGATTGTTGCGGCGACACGCGCTCCGCAACGTAACATCCGCACCATTTTCAACTCTCACGATCGTTCTTTTGATTTATCGATACGCTCTTATCGCTTCTGATCGCGTTTCTTCACGCCTATCTTTACTTAAGATTACATACGATCGAACCAGCTTCAATCGATATTCTCTACTATTAATAAAAAATATCTTTCTCTTCCTTTCTCTTGTTCTTTATTTTTTCTTACGACTTTTCAAATATTCGAAAATTTGATCAATTAACTTTACCCCAACGTGGCAAATATTCAAATTCCTTTCATACTCGAACTATCTATTCGAAATTTATATCTTAAAAATTTCCATTATGTATTATTAAGAGAAATTAGTAAAATTATCATCGTACCTTCAGAGTTAGAACATCTCTGATTGATTTTCTATCGATGACCTTTTAAAGATGACAAAAAAAAGAAGAAATCCGTGAGAGTCATCGGTTCCACGAGATTGTATTCAGTCGATATACAACTGCGACACGCTAAATATGCCTTTCAGCCTGGAATCAACGAGAACATGCTCTTCTTTAGGGAGAAAAAATCGAAAGGTCTAAGATAAGTCTCGGATGTCTATTGGGATCGAAACTCGAACGAGCGAACGCGATTCCAAAGCGAAGACGAGAAGGGACCATCTGTAGAGCAATATATTATATAAGCGAATACGACGTCCTATCGTACAGTTTATATGGCCTTTACCATCAAGGGGATATTGTGTAGGCACCCATACGTGGCCACATATTGTATGACACGGACGTCGCTATCTGCATCCGGCAGAGACGCCGCAACTTCCCCCTCCTCTTCTTCCTTCGTCCTCGAACCCCCGCACTTCGCGAGAGACATGAAAATATGTTTAAAGATTTCTCCCGGGAACGTCAAAAGAGAAGCTGGAAGGTGAGAAGGATGACAACGACGTTTCATACTCTCTTTCGATACGATCACTCTTCTAACTTTCTTCCATTATCGAAAGGACCTCTTACAACGAGTGAAAAACTTATCATCCGACTTCCTATACTTCTTTCTCTCTCTCTCTCTCTCTCTCTCTCTCTCTCAGTCTTTCTCTCTCTTTCTCTGACATGAGTTGAAATCATATGTCTCTTCTTTCATTAACAACGTTATATCTATCTGAATCACATCATTGCACTTCCTTCGTACATCTTATTTGTTTAAAGAAATTTTAATCAATGGATATCACGTAAAATTTTCTTTTAATCTATGTTTAACAGGCATAAGAGCGTGTAAAACGAGTCTGCTATCTAATTTTAATCGTCGACTCTTGATGAAAAGAGAAAACGTCCGAGTAATACGACGTTGACGCATTTTGTTAGATGCACTTGCGGTTTCTAGAAGCATATCTGTATAGCGGATTAAAAAAGAAATAAGAAAAGAAAGAAAGGAGAAAAAGAATGATAGAGAAGCGGAGCCACAAGTAAGGAGTAGAGCGATCAGAATACCGTCCATCCTGGCTGGACAGGTGCGCGTAAAACCGAGGGAGGAAAGAAGGGGAAAAAAAGAGGTGATCTGTCTTGGTATGCTGAAGGGAGCAGCCTCTGTCTCGGAAGCCACCGATCCAAGGTCCACTGTTGCCAGTTGCCGGTTCACATGACCCGAATATTTTTATTCAACAGATAAAACGCTCTAGACTAGCTAATCGTCCACGCGATTGACATATTTTGCTAATTAATATAAGAAACGAATTCCTCGAGCGATTACAACAACAAACGAAGACATTTAAAAGAAAAGAGATTATATATATATAGAAGAAATCATTCCTTCAATCGGCAAAGGGACAAAAGTTTTTAACTCAAACTGTGCTAGTATTATTTCGTATTTTTCCTTTAGAACTCGTAAAGTAAGTATACGTAATGTCTCACTTGAAAAGAACGAGTTTATTGGTGTTTAAATTATATAAACTCACCTGATTGCTATAGAAAAGAGATACATTCTTTCTTAATGAACAACTCATTACGCCTTCGTTCTCGCTTATATTTGGGTTAACGTATGCAGGAATGTCCTCAGCCATAAATATACTAGATCGGGTAGTCCCTTATCGAAGCCGACGTATTAGCGACAACCTAATCATGCAGAGATGATGTCTCGCTTCATTACGTTCGCATTCGATCGAATAAAGAGTATAGAGAAAAGGAAAATAGAAAGAGAAAGAGAGAAAGAGAGAGAGAGAGAGAGAGAGAGAGACGGAAAAACGAGAAAAAAATAATCAGTGTTCGTAATCTTCGTCATCGTTTTGGTATTTTGACGAGCTGCAAATCTAACGACTTTATTGATAGTATTTCAACGACACACGGTAACTGCACCAACTAATGTAGAATTTTGAAATTGAGATATTTTTATTAATACCTAACCACAGAGTACAGAAAAATTATAAGCGATCGCGCTTATCTATATCTATCTACCATCGTATTGCTTCCGAATACGCCGGCAAATTCTAAAGTTTCTTAAAGGATCGGCGCAAGCGGATAACCCAACAAGAAATCTCGGCTCCTTTTTAGATGCGCGTAGAAGCCACGCGACCCAGTATGCTAGTCGTTCAATGGCGTATGATTAATCTATCCATTGGGTAAGCAAATGGAAAATAAAAAACGAAAAAAAAAAGAAATCATCGATAAAAATATTGGAATCTGAACGTTAAAACATTTAAACGTTAAAATGAATTTTATAATAAAATTTGTTAATTCGAAATAGCAACGTAAAATTCATCGGCAAGTTTTTTTTAATAATGATGGAATCTATCGCTCGAAGTTAAAATAATATGATCGATTAATCTATGATACAGAGAAAAATTACACTACGCCAATGGCACTTGAATGCACTCATTGGTAGCCCATCGAGGCGCGAGTGCGTATTTACAGAGGACGTAGAGACTAATTGGGAGAACAGGCGCGGAAAACGAAGGTAACGAGAGACCGGTCTCCGAAAGAGATCTAGTATTAGATCAGATCGTTGCGCAGTGCACGAGAGAAGCGACACGTCGTACGTCGTGTTGCCAGCAAAACGGCGCACGCAAGAGAACAGAGAAAAGGAAGGAATGAACGAACGAACGAACGAACTCGAGCAGCGACTTGTCGATACCTGTTCCCATGCGTAGGCGCACCGTTCATCCGTGTGCCTACCACGAGCGATCGCAGGAAAAAGAAAGACGGAGAAAGTCCACTTAGATTTGTATAGAGATGATAGAAAGAGATCTCTTAAAAGAATCATACAAATTTTAGATAGAATCTTGTAAAAGATCATCATAAATATACTGAAAAATTCATTTTTACATACAAAGATTATATAAGATGAATGTAAAAAAATCGATAAATTGAAATTTGCAAAAAAGAAGGAAACTCAGTACCAATAGAGGCTAAAGGCTACGAGGGGAAACAAAAAGAAAAAATAGGAAAAGAAGGAAGAATGAAAACGCAAGTCGAAGTAAAAGGGTGCATTCGAAGTGGTCGATTCTTTTGTTGAATGCAAGTATCGCATAGAGATATAGAAAAGAAAAAGAGGACATTATCTGCGAAGGAGGAAGCAAGATGAAGAAAGAATGACCAGTCCAGTCGGGGATCAGCCAGAACGGAGACACCATGTACGTTGGATAACATCAAGGAAGAAAGAGAGGGGAAATTATGGAAAGAGTAGTGGTGGGACAGAGATGGAATACATCAAGAGAGATAAGAAAAAGAGAGAGAGAGAGAGAGAGAGAGAGAGAAAGAGGGAAAAAGAGAGAGAGAAAGAGGAGAGAGAGAGATAGGAGAAAGAAAGAGAGAAGAGAGGAGTGAGAAGAAAAGAAGGAGAAAGAAAGAGAGAAGAGAGGAGTGAGAAGAAAAGAAGGAGGAAGAAGACAGCTGGTGTCTTCGACGGTGTTGGTGATATCACTATGAGACCACAATGACGTTGGTAGTGGTGGGTAGCCGATGGTAATGGTGGTGGTAAACCAGCATATCCAACAACACTTGCTGCACGCACGATGTCTTGGTGAGGGGGGAGAGAAAAAGAGACAGAGAGATTGCCCCCTCCTGCCGCGGGCGGCGCCACTCGAGGAGATCCTTTCCTCTTTTCGCCTCTAGGCCATTCTCGAGAGGCGCGCGCGCCAACGCGGTGTCGCCCGATCGCTTCTCGCCGACCTTCGACCAATACGCGCGCGTTTCGTTCTACTCGTTACGTGCGTGTGCCAACGCAGAATTTTCCCAATAGACTTTTCCGAAACTCGTCCACCTTTCCCCTCCTCTCCTCTTCCCTTTCCTCCACCACTTTCTTCTTCTTTTTCTTTTTCTTTTTGTCGTGACACCCACCTGTGCATTCATCCCACTCGAACTCTGATTCCTTCAAAACACCCCTGGGCAAAATCACCTTCCTCTTCTCTCTTCCCCTTCTCCTTCTCTCTTTCTCCACCATCGCGTGACAGCCGGAATGCGACCACGTGATTACTCCTTCGCGTACGTCAACGTCCGTTTGAGTCGAACGATTTTCGTATTGATTTTCTCTTCTTAAAGTGATTCTCATCCACGTTTGTCGTCGTCGACTTTGTTGTTATTGTTCTTGCTACTGCTGCAGTTGCTACTATTGCTGCTGTTCTTACCGTTCCTCTTCAACTTCTTTCTTCCTCTTGTTCGCACCAGTGCAATTCATCTAAGCAATTACATAACGATCGACACGCCGGAGGCACTCCAACGAACTTCATAACGATCCACGTGAATCGTTTACCTTGAACTTCGAACGGACTAAACGCCGAAAGAAGAATCGAACGAGGTTCCTATTCCTAACAAGGCATGTCGACGAAGAACTTAATTTTTTGTGAATTTCGCATAAACGTCGCAAAAATCAACGGCGCTAGGCTCGTAAAAAGAAACCGGAAAACATAATCAACGAAATAATGACAAAGTCTCCGCGAGGTGGAAACAGTGCTCATAGAAACGTAGGTTCATTGGCAACGCTTCGATTCTTAAGTGAAATCGGACCGTGAAGAGAACGACTTGAGTGTCCATCGTCGACTGAAACATAACTCAAGTAACTATACTGTAATAGACGAGTGAAGCTACGAGGCAAAAATGTGTAAGTACGAGGTTGACAATGGCACGAATGATTCGAAAGAAAGCGAAAGTAAGTTGAACGTCGTTGCTCGGTGAGTTCGATGCCTGGAGGAAAGATTTGTACAAGAAGAAAAAGAGAGAGAAAGAGAGAAAAAAAGATCTAGATTCGCAATCGCGTATTCACGCTTGCCGTCGGAGAGTTTAATGCCTGCAAATGCGAATGAAATGTCGTCGGCTTCGGTGATGGAGTGAATAAGTACCTGCTACTATGATTTTCACGATGTCGAAATAAAACATTCTTTTTCTACGATAAAAGAATAAGAACTCCTTTTCACTGGCAGAAAGGAAGGAAACGGTTGCCTCATCATGTCCATTCTCGAAGGCAACGAAGCCGACAAGACGACAATGTCACCGCTCGACGAAGTCGTGTCTCCAACGAGCGTCGAATCGAAACTGATGGTGACCAACATGTTGGAAGAGCACGAAGCGAGCACGTTGGTTGAGCAGAGGGATGGCAAGCGTAAGAGAGACACGGATGGCGAAGAACTTACGCCGAGAAAGCTACCTTCTTTAACAAGGAACAACAACGACGTGGCTTTCGTCCTCGAGGATAGCGCCGACGATGAACTGCAAGACGAACGTGACGATGTAAGTCCTCGAGGATACTTTGGGAATATAGTTCTTTTCGTTCGATAAAAATTAGAAACCGTAACGATCTCAAGGTAACGGTATCGTCTTTCGGATCAAGTTATTTTCGAAATAGTCCTTCGACTCGAAGGAACGCCGCACGAATTGTTTGTCCTTTCGCAGCTATAGAAAAGGAAATTCTCACATGGTAAGAGAAAAATAGCTGAACAAAGCTCGACTTGTCGGTGTCCGAGTGTCCGCCTACGTATATCACTCTCATACCTGTTCCAATGTCTTTCTGTAGGAGAACTCTCAACGAGGCTGACGCGCGGCAACAAATCAGGTGGATAGATTGAGGACTAGAACAAATCGAGGCTAGTTCTCTTAAAGAGGCGCAGATTTCTCTGCATGGAAATTATTCTTCTTCCTTCTTATTCTTCTTACCTATTCAATGATACCTTATTTACTTAAATACATTATTTACGATTGACTTTCAAAAGCGAATGGGAGAGGGATAACCGATTCAGTAAAAAAATTTCAGGAAGTGCTAATTTCATTATAGTGGATTCTCAATATGATATACACCGTTCCGATCAGTAGATTTTGGAAGTCAAGAATTATCAATAATAGATTAGAGAGTTATATACAATATACAGCACGATGGCTTATAGAAGCAAGACTCTTTCTTTTCTCTATTAATACGTTCTTTTTCTCTATCTTCAGTATCGTTTGACTTTACGATACATTTTCAAGGAACGAAAGTGTCCAGCTCTAAAATGAGGGCGAACGGTGACACCGGTAAGCCTATAGTAGCTATCGTATTTGCGTAGGCAGGACTGATGTCGTTGATGTCGTTGTCATCATCGTCGTTGACCTCTCGTAGAATTCTTCTGTAAACTCCAATTATAAGATGATCAAATTGTTTGAGTTTGAGGAAAAATCAAGCCTCGATACATGACGATACGTTATTTGGCATACATAGGATGTATAGATACTTTATCTTTAACATAGTTATTTTGATGTTACCGATTCCATCATTAATGATCATAATCGTAGATTTGTTGACTAGCTCAAATAATCTAAATAATCGTAAGAATACCATCAATATTACTCTTCTATTCATTTCGTAAATAATTTGCAACGATCGTTATCAGTCTCCCTTACTTTTCTACACGATCGACGATTTTATCTTGCCTCGATTGAGGAAAAATAAGAGAACGATAAACTTTGAATTTCATAGTTAAAGGAATCCCGAAGTGATAATTTTAACATGCGTAGCTCATCGCCTGGTTTCGAAGGAATATGTACAAACAATCAAAAGGTGAAGTTATATCGCCTTTCACAAAGTCGTTGATATACATATACCTACACCTGTATATATACGTAATATCTATATACAAACGTGCATGTGTACCTACATACTAAATATTGCTTTCTCAATTTTCATTCCTCAACTCTCCCATGGATCGCGAGTCGATCTTCTCGAATAATTCTTGATCTTTGCATGCAGTTATCTTTTTATTTGCTGATCGATTAATTGCTGCTTATTATCGGCAATCTGCATAGGAAGTCTTTTTATTTTATTAATTTTCTTCCTATTTCATTTCTTACGACATTCATTAATGATGAGAGTAAAGTTGCCGAGACAAGCTTGTTTTATATTTGTTAGAAGCGAACATTTATATCACACAACAATATTAAACAAAATTAGATATATATTGCGACGAATCTATCAATGTAATTAACAAAATATGAACAAAATATATATTTCCACAGAGCTAACTACAAAGCACGAAAGTAATTAAGCTTACAGAGAGCTAAATCTCAATTAACTAGCGATCATGACAGGAATAAAAATGACGAACGATTGCTCTTGGATAAATAACCATCGAGATTGATCGATAGATCACATATCGAGCAAGAATAAATTGAAGATCAAAGATATATACGAGTCTACATATTTTTTTCGACAATTTCATTTTACTTTATCCAAACTTTCAGGAACATTTGGCTTTTATACGTAAATCGTATACGTAATATTTTACTCGTATCAAAAAATATCATTAAAAAATTTTCTCTATAAAACGTGTTCAGCCGGACATGGCGTAAGATCTCAGCTACCGAATTCAGCTATTTACACAATATATTGTGTGCAAATAGCATATATACTTTCCAGACCTTCCGAACGCGAATAAATGCTATTTATAGATAATATTTTCAATTTGATAAAATTGGAATTCAGTGGCAGCATTGCTGCCAACTCGGACTTGTTACGATAAAATCTCAAGAGATTGTCTCCTTGAAATTTAGATCCTTATCATTTTGCATCTATAAAAGAACATTGTACTTACAAATCAATCAAGAGGAATCATTTTTTGTTTGAAAAAACAATCGTGCATACCTACGTATAATACGTATAATACATATAATGCATACATATGTGAAACATATACGCATAAACCGCATAATTCTATGGTTCATACATTTTATGACATTTTTATAACGCTCTCGCGATGGTCCAGAGTGGGAGGGCAAAGATCGACCCGCAAGATCATAAATGTTTATTCGCACGAAAGAGTGTCGCAAAGTTTTAGTTCGAGGGTACTAATTTTATACTAAGAAAATTTAACCACGATTCGCGGTAGTCTAAAGGCCAGTTATAAAACACTTGTGGCGTCTTAGATAATGATAGGTATGCACGATGCCGTGCGTGCAGCGGTTTTTGATATACTGTTTGTGCTTTCGGAAGGTAGCCGTTAAAATTTTACCCATGAATGATAAACTGTGCTTGCTGCCGTTTGTTTGCACTCGTGATTTCCGGAATGCAATTTCAAATACTCTAGAAATTTCAGATTTACTCTTTTGTAACTATTTGCTCACAAAACAGCTTATTATTCATTATTACGAAAAGACGTTAAAATTATGAAAAAGAATTATAAAATTATAAAATTTATTGTTTTTGAAAATTATCAATAATTAATTTATAATTAACTACTTTTCATTTAATAAATCTTTGATATTTTTAATAATTATTATTTAAATTATACCGTTATATGACAAAGTTATTTGAAATCATTACGCAACTAGACAAACTGTGCCACATCAGCATATTTCCTCAAAGTCATTGACGAAAAAGTCGTTTTCTGTTCCTACTAAGCGCTCACACCCACGCGATATTTCGAAACCTTCCATAACGGGAATCAAGTAAGTACTTGCAAGAGCATTTGCAAGATAGCTTCAACGACTTTTTGGGAGGAGTATGAACGATCATATAGATAGAAGTAAGAAGACAAGAGTCGAGAGAAATTCGAAGATAAATGCACAGATATAGACGGACAATATTGTTAAACAATTCTTATGATGCCCCACGCAAATTATCCTCCAAGCAAGATCTTGAGACGGTGCCAACGCGAAGATTGCCAAACGATTATCAAAATTGCTATGCTCGTAAACGTGATTTCACGCGGGCCGTAAGTACATTAGATGACGGCGAATTTTTATGCGAGCTCGAAGATGCGTAGGTAGCACGTGAGAACCCCACGAAGAGTAAATGAAGAAATGAGCGAAAGAAAGACAGAGAGAAAGAAAAAAGAGAAGAAAAAGGTAGAAAACTATCTGAGTAATTACTATATTAACCCTTCATAGAACATAGTACAAAGCACTGACAACTTCGTGGCCTCGCTTTCATTCTTTCAAAAGATAAAAAAAACAGAACAAAATCACAGTGCACAACCACATGCGTAATCCGAGATACTGTCGCGCGATACGTTTGCTAGAATTTATCGAGGCAAAAGGTAAAGAGAAAGTTACATTCTCGCGAATAAAAATCTCTCTCTCTCTCTTTCTCTCTCTTTGCCTCCTCTGTCTGCCTGTCTATCTGTCTCTCTCTTTGTCTGTCTGTCTGTCTGTCTCTCTCTCTCTCTCCCTCTCTTTCTTTTTCTACAGACATTGTAATTTACAAATACCAACCTGCGTCGATAACTTGGGCCATATTTACATAGATTCCATAGGATGTTCTGCTTATGCACGAAGTACATAATGCGTCCTCGTATAGTAGAGTGTATAATTTGTATACATATATATATATATATATATATATATATATATATATTTATACATAAGCACAGAAATCTATATACCTATATATATAGAAACTAACGTACTCATGTAGGTGACACATATATCGGAATATTCAAAAAACGAATTTTACCCTGTAAATTTCGACAAATCCTACTTTTCGCCCAAAAGGCAGTAAATAAAGCGTGTTCTACCGAAAAAGAAAGAGAAAGAGAGAGAAAGAATACACCTACTCCACAGAAGAGGAAGGAAGCTGCGAGAGGACAAAGGAGACACTACTCGGATCTTAACTACGTCCTCCGTCGTCTTCTCAGTGCTCGTGCACTGTGCGCTCCTTTTTCCCGCCAGAGCCGGGCTTTGAGGTAGGCAATAAAGATCTGGATTAAATCCCATTCGCGCCGTACGCACCGCAAAACGTATAAACATAGCCAAAGCACGTAGGAAGCAAGCAGCTTCTCTCTCTCTCTCTCTCTCTCTCTCTCTCTCTCTCTCTCTCTCTCTCTCTTACGTGCAAATACAACAGGAACTCAATAAATGGCAGGCTAAAGGAGGGCAAATTTATCCGTGTAACAGCCATTTTATACCAGTACAATATATTATTATACTCTCTCTTTCTCTCTCTCTCTCTCTCTCTTTCTTTCTGCTTTATCTCCAAACAGGAGCGTGCACGCGCGCGCCGGTGCAGTAGCCAAAGGCTTAAAATGTTGAAGCTATGCGTTTCTTTGCTAGCTGGCTTATTTAATAATTTGCATATTTCGGATTTATTAAAGTACGAGAACGCATAAAGAACTCGAAGATGTCATAGATCAGATTATTGTTTTTATTTTATACAAATACGTGTTATTCCTATGCTCGAACTTTAAGCGTTCGTCTTTTCTATGAACAAATTGACTCATTTCTCGACAACTTCGATAACGATGTAAATTAGGTTCCTTGTCTGGTTC